CCCCCCAAAGCACATCTAATAATAAGGCGATCTGATCACCACCGTATCAGGGCGCAATTCTGTTAAAAACTTCAAGTCACATTGATCTTTTTCTCGAAGTTTTATGAGTCTTTTCACATGAGAATGTCTGATAAAGAAGATGGGAAAAGCACTGAGTTGCGATTTTGTAAAAATGCTGAGTTTACTACTTTGCGGAATGAGTGTGAGTGGAGCTGCGTACGGCTGCCCCACTGGGCTCTGCCCGGTTCCCAGGGACCCCACCTACAGAGCACACAGGAGGGTGCTGCCTGCAACAGGACCGTGCGGTGGCCCTGACTGGACGGTGGACTGACGGGAAAAAATGGTTGAACCTGTTTCAGAAACTAGGACATGCTTGGCAAAATGGAGGGGGCGTGTCACAGAGACCCACGAGCCAGCTTGCACCCACATGGCTGAATGTGGGACCATTCCAGCATCAAAATAAATCAAAACAGGAATGTATGCTACCCCAGCAAATGGAGAAACCCTGACGCCATGTTGGTAATGATAACTGAATATATAAACGCAGAAGAAGAAAAAGCTCTTCCGAACAGGAGAATGACAGCTAACACCTGTGAGAAGGGATGGTGGGGTTAAGTGAGAAACACACCGTTTTCCCACCTTCACGGTGAAACGGGATCAGACAGGAGACATGAACAGCTGCTCCAGGCGTGAGGAGGAGCTAGAGAAGGAACAGGATGCATGCTTACAGAACCTCTAAGTGTTTCCTTCAAATGTTCCAGGAATCACAAAGTGAACGGGATTAATACAGCAGAGAAATCAGGCAACATCTTAACCAAGTGATCAAATGAAGGTCGCCAGGAAGGGGCAAAGGGACATCCATGTGACGGTCTGAGAAGGAGACCTCACATACACAGCGATCCAACCAAAATACGGAACCTCGATCTATCACCAGGGGCCTCGGAAGTCCACATGAGGGGCTGTTCTATCCACGCCCGGCCTTTGCCTGTGCTCTTCAAACACGTCATGCAACACAAGGAAGGCTGTTCCATTAAGGGGGCCTGAAGGGACGTGACAGGGAAGTACAGCAAGTGGCCCTAGACTAGATGCTGACCTGGAGGGAAGAATGGAATCACGGTCATTTTGGGGGCATCTGACAAAACTGGCGCACGGGCTGTAGACCAAAGTATTAAATGTCCTGAATCTGCTAATAGCCCTGTGGTTATATAAGAGAATATCCTTGTTCTTAGGAAATACACGGTGAAGTATTAGGGGGTGTAGGCTGCCTACTCTCAAATGAGTCAGAAAAAATAAATGTGTGTGTGTGTGGAAAGAGAGAAAGAAGGGGAGGACAGGAGGAAAAGAATAAGACAAACATGAAACAATGATGTTAAAAATGTGTAAAACTAGGTAAAAGGTCTAAGGGAATATACTCTACTATTGCAACCTCAAAATAAAGAGTTTAACAAAAACAGCAGCAGCCAAACGACTTGAGAGGTATCGGTGTTCAGCTGTTTTAATGAGCAGAAAAGTAATTCAACTTGTAATCAGTGCAGAACAGAGAGGTGCCCCTCTGGAATCATTCTGTTGCTGTCATCTTCATAGTCATCGCCAGGAACACTTCCGGAGCCCTTACTCAGTGAGAACTGCTCTGAAAGTTGTTTTACTTGCGTGACCCCTTTTAGGCTTCACAACTACCCTAGGAGAAAGGCCCTGGGGTTACCCCACTTTACAGATGAGGAACCCAAGGTTTACAGAAGCTTAGGAACTTGCCCAAAGTAATACAGGGAGTAAATGGCAGAACCAGAAACCCAACGAGGTTGATTACAAAGCTGGTGGGATTTATTGCTTTGTTAAACTTAATTTTTAATTATTTATTAGTTTTCCTCAAAGAAAGAGAGATGAAGCACAACCTAGATGAAATTTTGGCAAATTAGTAAAATACGCTTGAATAAGGGCTTCTTCTAATTATAATGACAGCACTAAATTAACCAGAGAGACATCTATATAATATATATATATATAAGCCTAAGCAACCAAACAACTGAATAACTGGTCGACCGGTCGCTATGATGTGCACCAACCACCAGGGGCCAGACGCTCAAGATAGGAGCTGCCCCCTGGTGGTCAGTGTGTTCCCATAGTGAGAGTGCCGCTCAGCTGACTGACCCATCCTGGGAGCCCACCAGCTTGGCGGCAGTCACTCCCTCCCTCAGTAGTCCTACAGGTCCAATCTCCGGAGAACGGGCCAGGCACCAACGGACCAGTGCCTCCAGCCTCCTGGAAGTTGGCCTCGGTCATCACCATCACTTCCCCTCCCCAGATGCTCTGCAAGGAAGAAATGATATAAAAGCGGCAGCCAGGTGGCTCCCGACAACTGACACAAATGTCAGCGAGATGGATCCAGATCCCGGGCTGGCAAGGGTGTCCCACTGCACGCCAGGAGGGCCAATTGTGGCCCGGGCTTCCACCCCCCTCAGGATCCCCCCTGTGCATGAATTCGTGCACCGGGCCTCTAGTAAGTGATATTTCTGGTCTCCATAATTTACTTTACACTCTCTTTCTTCAAAGGGCTGACTTGTCATTCACAAATTCTTTGAAAAAATATACCCGAGTACGTCTTTTGAAATGATCTTATCAAACGTCTCCTAAACCACATGGTCCTTGCTATGGCATGCCTGTTAGTGTCCTCCTAAAATGAGATTTTGACACCCACATCCTCTACGTGATGGCATTTGGAGGTGGAGCCTTTGGAGTGTTACTAGATCCTGAGGATGGAACCCTCATGAGTGGGATTAGTGCCCTTCGAAGAGAGACGTAAGAGAAAGGATCAGTCTCTCTCCACCACATGAGGACACAGTGCGAAAACAACCATCTGCAGGCCAGGAACTGGGCTTTCCAGACGTGCCGGTGCCTTGATCTTGGACTTCCCAGACTCCAGAACCGAGAGAAAAACATTCCTGGTGTTTCTAGTCCATCAGGTCTATGGTATTTTGTTATCGGAGCCTGAACTAAGACAGTTTTGTTTCACGTTTTTCTTCTTGATTAAAAATGTTTTCTCTCCTTTCAGGTAAAGTAATGTAGCTTATGTTTAGGTTTCCTTTTAGTCTCGACACTTCAATTTTACTTAAAAAAAATGTATCACTCGCAACACACTGCCTGCTCAGTCCCATCGTCCTCCTCACAGATGGGGAGTATGTGGCTACACATGCCATCTCTTTCTTCCCAGTGGAAGCTGAAGGACCATTAATTTTTTAAACAAACGTTCATAACAGTACGACATTTGCAAATACTTGCAGGTGTTCGGGGCAATCTTATCATCTGACAGAGCGAATGCCCACTCCAGAAAAGGCAGCCCTGCCCACGGCTGCATAATTTAACCACAGAGGAGCTTTTAAAACCCCGATGCCCAGCCCACACTCGAGACCAATGAAACCAGACCCGCTGGAGATAGGGCCTGGGCCTTGGGCATTCTAAGCTCCCCTGACGATTCCAGTGGGCGGCCTAGTTCGAGATGCTGGTTCGAGCGCCTGGAGCCGTAAAGAATCACATCTTTTGTGAACACAGCCAACGGATTCACAGAGCTTTTGGAATTGGTCTCATTAGGAAGGTATAGTCCAGCTGGTGAGGGATGACAGTAGGGAACAGCAGGGAACAGTAACTGGGCGGGACTGAGACGTGTGCCACATGAAGGGGACACACAGTGAGCACATCAGGAGGCCACGGGGACAGCAGGTGTCATCGGCACCCTCCGGCAACAAGTCCCAGCGGGTGGCAGCTCGGAGCCTCTGAACACATTTGTGGAAACGATCGAATGAAACTTGCCTTTGGGAGAAAACCGAAAACTCTGTCTACTAAGAACAAAAAACCACACAACTGATGAGGTAAAACTGTATGCTGATGGAGCCTAATGTGATGTCTTTCTTTTTAGTTTTCCACAAAAGACAAGACCCACACCTTGGAGCCTGCTAGACTAGAACCCGCGTGGGTCTCGCCAGCCGGGGACCCCCTCGCATGGGACAGCAACCTGAGCGTCAGGCTCACTCTCGGCCCCTCTGGCCTGGTCCCAACCTCACCGTAGCCTGCCTCCTTTTTCTCAAAAGGCGACTCCTGTGGCTAAGAAACAGAATCCAGAGGACAAGATTCCAGGCCACAGAAATGCTTTCTCACAGTTTTTTCTTTGGAATAAGGACGTTTGAGAAGCTGAATGATTCCTCGGCCATCCTGGCAATTAAAGATTTCTAGGGATACAAAAGGAGACCACAGCACTCATTCATTCACCACGTACCACTCGCCGCTCTTCTAGGCCTTGGGAAGAAACACAGCCGGGCCTTTTCCAAAGGGAACACTCCCTGGTACTGAGCGACTTCACCCAACAATGTCACGCAGCCTAAGGCTACACGACTGACAGCTAACTGACTTAAGGGTCCTGCTACAGACCTTAAAAAAACCACACGAATAGCCAAAAAACAAAACAAAACACAGAAAGAAAAGGAAAGTCAAGATCCTTTATATAATTAACTGTATGCACCAGAGGACTTATAGAGTAACAAAAGTCTTTTTAAAAACTGCATTTATGTAAGTATATTCAGGCCACTAGGTGTAGCCTAAGCTCCAAACAGTACTAGCACAACCACGTGTTCAATGGCCGATCCAACAGCCACAAGAAAGTGCTTGCCGCTTCTCCTATGTCACATACCCTCTAGTTCAGCGGTTCTCAACCTGTGGGTCGCGACCCCTTTGGCGGTCGAACGACCCTTTCACAGGGGTCGCTTAAGACCATCCTGCATATCAGATATTTACATGACGATTCATCACAGTAGCAACCTGACAGTTAGGAAGTAGCCACGAAAATAATTTTATGGTTGGGTCACAACACAAGGAACTGTACTGAAAGGGCCAGAAGGTTGAGAACCACTGCTCTAGTTTAGATAATTCCCGTTTTCTTGCCGTGGAGAAAAGTTCGCATGAGCATATTGCAGGCTCCTTCCTTCCCTCTTCCTGCCCGCGCGGAGTCTTACCCGCGTAGTGCACCGGGATCTCTATCTTTGGCCCAATGACGTAGTGCCCCTCCTCCAGGCTGTGGGCCGTGATGGTGGTCCACTGGCGGCAGGAGTGGATCAGCAGGTAGTCGTTCTCCCGCAGCCCTTCGATGCATTCTCCTAGAAGATAGAATCCCACATGAGAAACGTGGAATTAGCAGGGGCTTACTCCGTCCTCTGCAATAACATGCCATTCGTTAGAACGTCACTAGTGCACAAGTTGGCAGTTCACCCCCAGAGAAGAAAACGTTCACTTAAGAATTAGCAATAAAAAAAGCATTCCAAGTGGCTCAGTGGTTGAGCGTGATCTATGAACCAGGAGGCCACGGTTCAATTCCCGGTCAGGGCACCTGCCTGGGTTGTACGGGCTGGATCCCCAGAGTGGGGCGTGTAGGAGGCAGCCGATCAATGATTCTCTCTCATCATTGATGTTTTGATCAATACCTCTCCCTTCCTCTCTGAAAATCAATATATATAGCATTCCATGCCACGTTGATAATGTCACTCAAGATTCCACAAAAATGTTTCTAAATTATTTACAAAGAGATCTTCACATGCCTCATTTTATCTAAATAATTATATTCCAACGATTACAAAACAAAGATGAAGTGCTTATGCTAGGTAATACCTGGATGCTGTGCATCTGTTATGCCAGGTAACACAGTAATGATGAGGGAGGTGCGATCCCTTCCTGGCGGGTGGGGAAGAACTCAGTGCTCAGGTGGTAAGCGACAGGTCTAAGCCGCAGGTGGGGTAAGTGGACAAGAGCAGACTTGGGCCTGGGCAGACTGATTCCGAAGCTTCTGCTCTTACACACGACGGGACAGGCTGCCAACAGGAAGGACTAGCCTGTCTGTCTCTCTGCCCAAACGCTGCTTGAAAATACAAGACTATTTCTCCTTTTTAATTGGGTATGTTTGCCAGTCCTTTCTGGCCTCCTACCAAACATCCCGATCAATTAAAAACAGGGAACTCTGTAGTATACACATAACATGATTTTTCATCTTAATAATTCTGATGTACACTTTCAGCCTTTGAACCAATGACTGACTATTTCAAAAGAGAAATCCGCTCCCTGAAATAGAAAAGTTAGTTTTCTAGACGCAGGAATGATCCCATGAACCCCGCTTAGTAATTTTCAATGCTCGAAAAAAATAGCTGAAAAGGCGAATTCTTTTATACAGGAAACCACCAGGCTGCCTTATTTTTGATGTTATTACATTTCAATAATGAAAAGTTATTGGTGATTTAAGTGTATGTTTCAAAATGGCACTTATCAATCCCTCAAAAGTTCTTAATAGTAGCAGCAATTTTTCAATTAAAAAAAAAAAGTAGAGAAAGGTGTAACCATCAATGTGGTTATCACAACCATAAGTCATCAAATTTGTTCCTAAACTAATAAGGCCATAATTTTAAATACAGTCTTACTGCAAGAATATGCTATCTTTGTTGCTGAAAAGGCAAAGAGTTAAAGCTTTTACGGGGGGGTGGGGGGTGGTGCTGGAAGTGGAGGTACCTGAGCAGGAGGGGGAGGGTCCCATGGTGGGGGGCATATTTCCAAACCAGACTCCCCTGCCCCTCACTCTTTGGGAGACCAGGTTCATAAAGACACCGTCTGGGAAGGCCAGTGGTACTCGGCAGACCTCTGCGTCTCTTGAGCATAGGAGGGCAGGAACGAAAGCTCTAGAACAGCCGTGGGCAAACTACGGCAGCACTGCCCGTAATATAGCCCCCTGAGTACTCCCCCTCCCAAGGGCAGAGGGGAGGGCACATACAGGGCAGTTGGGAGTTAGAGACACGGCTTCAGAG